ACGTCCTTTGGTGACATTTACACTGAAAGTTATATATATTATAAATAAATATATACTGTCTGAAAAATGTTAGTGGGATTATTTAAAATGAATAGAAAAGTACTTCAGGAAGGCAGCAGTTGTACACTTTCTTTTCTTAGGAAATCAATACTCATATAACTCAAGGTTGTAATTGAGAATTAAAAACCACAGTGAGTTTATTTTAAAACATGTAGTCTATCATCTCTGTTTTCCTTTTGGATAACATAGTGTTTATACCTTGAAGTCTATTTATGTTGCTGCATCTCTTTTACTGACTTTGAAGTGACCTTTCTTTAGTGCTAGAGCAGAACATTAGGGCATAAAAGATCATGTAGTCCAGCCCCTCATTTGAAAAGAATAAATTGAGGTCAGAGAGGAAAGAGCATTGCCTTCACATCTCCATTTTCCAAGCTGTAATACTCTCTTGTTCTTAAGCACCAGGCCCAGCTTGGGGAGGGCAAGTCATCTGTTCCTTGTTCCTTTCCTACACGGCCTTTGACACTTAGCAAAAATTCCATCTCTAGCTCCTAGAAAAGGAAATTGGGTTTAGTTCTTAACAGCATAGTATATTCTCACTAAAGTTGAACTTTGAGCCTAAATTTCCAGCCAGACTTCCTACTTAACCTCTCTAGACCCTAGTCTTCCATAATAATTAGGTAAACTATGTTTTCTTTACTATCTACCATGAGCAAATGGATTGGTGACTAGAAGAGCCCAGGGAAATAATGATCTTTGTTCCTAAGTCTTGCAGAAATGAGGAGTATCTCATTAGTTCAGAGGTGGGTCATTTAGCCACCAATACTACCTGTGAGATGGCACCTACCAGTCTGACATCACCCATTTTCTACATAAACCACCTTAAATCAGAAGAAATCCATGGCTATTTTTCCATCAGTTAGTACAATGAAATAAAACTTTTCTCTACCACTACTTTATCATCCATAGCAATCAGACTAAGCCAGCATGTGGTGATGTCACCAAAATTGGATTAGAAACTCCCTGGTATTCTTGATGTGACTCAGGAAAATCTCTCTAATCATTGGGAATAAATGCACAAATTCTCCTGCTGTTTTCCCAAATCCATGTTACATAAAGCTGGCTGAGTGAGAAACAACTCCACAGTAAATCACTGCCTACACTTTAAGGCATTCCACCCTGGCAGTCTCTCCACAGATGTATTTAAAAACCACCACTTCCTCAACACGGAACATCTTAGAACCTGTTAGCAGGCATGCAGATTTGTCAAGGAAGTTGAGAGTCAGGTGGCCACAGGACTGCCTATTTCTGTCAGGGTCCCTTTCAGGGTTCCAGAGAAATTGCATTTGTGCTTATAAGTCTTCTTGCCAATTTATTTATATTGTGTCTTTAAGAATGTGTGGTTTGTAGAATGATTTTATAGGCAACAAAGGAAAGCTTTAATAGAGCAAACCAACATAAAGAAGTCTAAATTTTGGAGGCTTTGTCTGAAGAGAAGGCAGCTGACCCTCATCGCAGGGTTCCTGCCTGTCCCTGTCACATGTAGGAGAGGCCAGCTCTTCCTCTCTTCACTGGGGCAAGCACAGAAGTAATTCAATAGAAAGAAGAGCAATTGGTTTTTTCATTAGAACAAGGTAGGTGGAGATTCTATTAAGGAGTGAAGGGCACCTCCGTGGAATCCCTTTCACCTGTTTCCACATCCTTTTCTCAGTCCACCTCCCAAGGCCAGTGCTGCACCCACTCCACCTACCTCAGCTGTGGTCCAGAGTCCCGTTCCCAGGGAGCACGCAGGAGCCCAGCCTCCTCTGCAGTACCAGACTCCACCCCAACCATGAGTACTGAGTTGTCTAGACCTAACGGCTTAATATATGGAAGTGTTAGCCTCCTTATTTGGCCTGTGGGCACCATGAGAGATTCACCAAGACCTTAGGAAGTCATGAAACATAACAATTACGGAAACTCTGACTTCTGGTCAAGAGTTAAGAGGCGTCCGAAACATCACAATTGACAAAATGTGTTGGAAATACCCTCAAATATTTCACCTTTGTATTTGTTGCCTCCCCACTTCCCTGCCATGCTCTCTGGTACATAAACCAAAGGCAGAGAAGCCTGTGGTCAGGAGCCAAGCTGACCTGTACCAGTTTGTTACCATATACCTGGCTATGAACCCTTTCTGTGATATTGTCACGCCATTATCTATGGCTCAATGAACTCATCTGTACATTTGCATAAGTAGGGAATTATTTTCCTCTAGGGCTATCTCCATAAAAATTATTTTAGAAGAGTTTAAGACAAAAGTTTAAATGTGCTAGGGTAGAAATTGTGCAGTTCTCAATCCTAATTGAGGGCCATCCTGGGAAGAGTTGCTGATATATAATCAGCCTCAGCCCAGGTAACCTCTGCCAACTTTATAAACTCTTTGCTGGCTCTTTAGTCCATTTATACAACAAAGAAATTGATGCAGATGTTATTGAGGTTTTGTGTTTACAAAATATTCTTCGATGCTCAGATAAAAGATGTGACTCATAGGAAGTGAAAAATATGAGCTAGACCATCCCACAGAGCCACAGCTAATACCTTTCAACGTGATGGAAACTTGATATTTGAAAAGTCCTTTGACATAAACCTCATTCTCTTCACCTGTGCCTTTTCTCTGGAACTTGTTCCACATTTCTTTCCCTTTTACCATACCTTCAAGTTGGCTAATACTCATAACCTTCAAGAGGGTCACTGTAAAGCAGTTTACTTAGGGGAGACCAGCGCAAGTATAATTCCTTTTCCACAAGGTAAAGGTCATGTTTGTGTGTGTGTGTGTGTCGATGTGTCTGTGTTTGTGTAAACGTGCTTATCCCTTCTCTTTTAGTATTTGTCAGTCAAGGAAATAGATGTTAGGAAAACGTCAGATTGTTTAATCTCATCACTATCAACAAGGACAGTTCTATTTTGCTCTGTGATGCCCTTTGTTTAAAATGTTTTCTACACAAATTATGGTACTTATTTTTTTAAATTTCTATTGTTATTTCACACATTTGCAGTACATAGTGGTTACATCCATCGTGGGAGTTAGAACATCTACATAACACATCTTAATTTTATTTTTCATCCCCTTCCTCTCCCCACCCCATCTCTTGGTCCCCTTCCCATTTTGGAGGCTTTGTCCAAAGAGGAGGCAACTGACCCTCACTGCAGGGTTCTTGCCTGTCATGTGTAGGAGAGGTCAGCTCTTCCTCTCTTTGCTGGGGCAAGCACAGAAGCAATTCAATAGAAAGAACAGCAATTGGCTTTTTTATTAGAACCGGGTAAGTGGAGATTCTATTAAGGAGGGGAGGGCATCTCCACGAAATCCCTTTCACCTGGTTTCACATCTTTTTCTCAGTCCATCTTCCAAGTCCAGTGCTACACCCACTTCACCTAGTTCAGTTTTGTTCCAGAGCCCAGGTTTCCCTGTCTCTTATCAGCTATCTTTTACTTTGCTCTTTAGTTTATGTATATGTTGGATTTCTCACATAAGAGAAACATGATATTTAAGCTTGTCTGATTTATTATACTTAACATTACAGCTTCAAGGTAAATCCATTTTCCTATAAATGATTCAAAGTTTTTCTTTATGGCATAATAGTACAAATATTAAATTCTAAATTATAATATATATAATTTAGAATTCATAAATATTAATCAACTTAAGGTTAAGAGTAAATAAAATTCACAGGTTGTCTTCTGCTCAAAACTATTTCTGTCTTGAGTTTCTTTTCCTCTGCCCAGGTGATCAAAATTTATAATTATCCATTGTATTCTTAGGGAATTTCTCTCATTATCTCCCCTTTCAAGGCAAGACTTGTACTTTGGATTTTTTTCTGCACACCATCCTTTGCCTCCATATTCATCAGCCAGTGTTGAGTTTTCTGGTGGTTAAAGGTCTTGACTCCGATGAGTCATCCTTGTTTTAAGTGGAAATGATTGATTAATCCATCATGAGTCATATCTCCCAGATTGCATGCCCATTTCATTAATGGAAACCTTTCAAGGCCTTATCTCTAAGAATGACTAGGTGACAAGGTTAGTAGCATTAAGAACTTGGAGGGTACTAGGGGGGAAAAGCTATATTCATGTGATTATAGGGACTTGTTGGTCTCTCAGTGTACTACCCCAGGGAGGAATAGCAGTGGGAATGAGGAAAAGATAAACAAGAAACAAGAGCTGGGTCAGGTGGAGGCCTCTTTACTGGATGGGTAAGAGGACCTTGAAGAACAACAGTAGGGACGTTTATTTATACCTTTGCAAAGTTAGTATCATGAGACACAAGGTTGCCTAGCAACTAATGACTGAAATTGTCTAGGCAGGATGCTTTTCTCAAGATGGAGGTAGCTTGACTGCTTTAGGCACTGTGGCCTTGTCTTGGCTCCGCACATATAACCAATTTCCAGCTCCAGCTGCTCCCAACATGTGATGGCTGGTTTTTTAATATGATGTTTTGGGTCTGATTCTCAGAGGCTATGTGGACTTGAGTACCTGTAGGCAAGAGATTTGTAGAGGACATGGTCCCAGGAAAACCCAGTGGTGGCTGAGAGGAAGCAGGTCAGAGAAGGGAAAGAGCTAAGCAAGGGAGCTCCACTAGATGAAGTCCAGCCTCAGCTTGGTCCTGCAGACAATATTATCATTAAACAGAGCTGGGCTTTCACTCTTTCACACCAGCCAGTCATAAGCCGCACACTGCCCTGCAGGCACATAGGCTCCATGGCACTTCCAAGTGTGTGTAAGCATGGACAGAGGGGTACAATGAGTCCAGTATAGTCTTTTGAAGGTTACGGTGTGCACTGTTAGAATACAGCATGCACAAGCTGGGAGGTGGGTATAGGAATCAAAGGAGGACACATGGGGTGTGGATAGAACAGCATCTGTATACACTACACTGCTGTGAACTCAGCAGGGAGCACAGGAGAACGATGTCCAGGCAGTCAGGACACAGGCAGTTGGTCCTTCTCCCTGGAAGTACTTGCAGTACCAAATCAAGATGCAGAATAGCACAGGCATTCCAGAAGTCTTCCTTGTGCCTTCTGCCAATCAATAGGCCCTTTGGAAAGGTAACCAGTATTCTACTGTGATTAATTTTGCTTGCTTTTTAGTCTTACATGACTTAACACTCTATTCTTCTATGTCTGACTTTTTTATTCAATATATTAAGAGTCATATAGCATCTAGCAGTACCTCCTTCCTTTTCACTGCTTTGAAGTATTTTCTTTTTTTTTTTTTTTTTTTTTTCTGGTACTGGGAATTGAACTCATGACCTTGCATTTGCCAGGCAGGCACTATGCCGCTGAGCTAAATCCCCAGCCCCTGAAGTATTTTCTTATAGCTCTTTCACAGTTTATGTTATTGCAGATAAGCATTTATGCTCTTTCAAGTTTTAGGCTCTTATGAGGAATGTTGTTACAAGTTTCTTGTAAGTGTTTTGAATACACACAATACCTGAGACTAGAGTTGATTGCATAGACTTAAGTTTTACTAGATATTGCTATATTGCCTTCCAAAGTACATTTAATTTGTGGTAACTGAAAATTTCAGTTACTCTGTATCCTCAAAAATACTTGGTAAGTCTCAGTCTGTAAATTTTAAATATGTACTGTTTTAAAACCATCAGTGGAGTGTAAACTAACAATTGAAAATATTGCAGAAACTTCCCTTGAATTTAACAACTTCAGTTTGAGAAATGCAGGTATTGGTGAATAAAAACTTTCTTTACACATAAAAAAGATTGCTACATATTAGTATTTATTTAACTGATACACTTTTTTATGTTAATGTCATTTGGGGCTGAATCAACAAGACCTCTTTTATAATATGTACACCTAGTAGGATATGTCTGAGTCTGATCCATTCAGGATAAAGTTTAATGTTATACACCCTATCAAGTACCATCTTTTACAAAAAAAAATTGTAGTTTGGCTAATTTTCAACCTAGAGCTTTCAATTTCCAATTTAAGATTTAGGCACTGTGACAAAAGTATGAGGAACTTTTTGACATCTGTGTTGATGGACAGAATAACAAAGAATTTTACTGTCAACTGGGGAAAAAACACATTTTAGATGAAGAAGAGTAAGACTGTAAAAGTATTTGTAATGCTCTCTAGACTGAAGCCTCACAGTGGGGGGACGAGTCTGTCTCTGACCAGAGGCTGTTAATTATTTCAGAAGGCTTTGAGTAGTGTGCTTGGCCTCCAATACCAATGTCATTATTTTCTGTGTCATTTGAGAGTACAGCTTTATCTTTTTAAGTGTTTCAGGACTGGGTAGTACCCAAATTAATTTTAATTTAGGTAGTCATGTATAGAACCAGAAGCCATTGTAAGAAGCTGCATGGATCTAAGAAGAATTTTAGCTTTTTAATGGCAGACTTGTTCAGCCAATTCTATTTCATGATTTGATTTTTTCTCCCAACAAGGGAAAAAAATGTCTTGCAAAAATAAAATATAAATATTGGCTGAGAATGTTGCACATAAGGATATAAAGCACTTTCCCTCAGTCGTTCTCAGCTAACGCCTTTTACTATCACTTAATGCTTATCAGGGATTTGTAGAAATAGCAATAAAGTAAATCATTGGAGAATAGTGAGTGACTGAGGGAGAACTTCAGATTATAGTGGGAAAGTGTCTGAAAGGAGAAGAGAGCTGCTCACACATCACAGAAAAGGATGCAAAGAATAAATTCCTCCCAGTCTTACCAAAGGGTGGCCTTGCTTCAGTGGTCAGTAAGATTTGTTGACTTCCCATATCAAATTCATGGAATTCTACAGTGATTAATGGAAAAGAAACACTGATCTGGTAGGTCATGCTTTCCTCCCCGAGTGGGAGAAATGAGGCTCAGGAAAGGAACAAAACAACCCTTGTTGCCCAATCTCTCTCTCTCTCTCTCTCTCTCTCTCTCTCTCTCTCTCTCTCTCTCTGTCTCTCTCTCTCTCATGTTTGTACATGTTTTCTGCTAACAGAATTCTTTCTTCCAGAGCCCTTGTAACTTCTTGTTTTTGTTCCTGTGGTTACCAAGTGTGGGTCATGTTCTTCTCCTTGGTGCACAATATCTGGTGCCTTCAACTTAAAGCAGGAGCGGTGTATTTTGGCTCATATACTCTGTCCATGGTCTGAAGGATCCAAGACAGAAGGCAAGGCAGGAGGGTATGACGGAGGAAAAGCCAATCATGTCATAGTGGCCAGAGCAGAGACAGGAAGAAGCCAGAGAAGGAAATAAACCTTCTGATAAACCTCTGGTAACACCCCCACTTACAGTAAGCCAGCTAAAGATCCCATGATCCAATCACCTTCCCGAAGTCCTGCCTCTGAGCTAGCTCTAGTGAGGAGATCACTTCCTAGTGAGGGGAACTCTTGTAAACAGAGAAGAAGGACTCTATCATATAATATCATACATTCATAAAACGATGACCCAAAATATACTCTGGCTTCTCTTCTGTGCAGGTTGGAGGTGCAGAACTTCTATTGAAATGCATTGAATCAAAGCAAAGTATGTTAGTAAATAGTAAATCCATGATACATCCTAAGCAAAAAAGGATTTACTCAGCAGATCACAAATTTTGAGGGATTCTTGGAAGGTAAAGAGCAGATAGAGTGCAGGTGTAGTGATGCACACCTGTAATCCCAGTGCTCAGGGATGCTGGAGCAAGAGGATTGTAAATTCCAGCCCAGCCTGGATAGGGTAGTAATTTAGTGAGACCCTATCTCAAATATTGAAAGAAAGGAAGGGAGGAAGGGAGGGAGGGAGAGACAGAGAGACAGATCTGTGGATGTAGCTCAGTGCAGTAGACTCTGGGTTCACTCCCTGGTACACACACGCAAACACACACACACACACACACACACACACACACACACGAACACACAAAAGTCCTTGTTATAGAAATGAGAAGAGACTTGCAACAAGACTTCCTTGTTGCAGCAACTTGTTGTCAAAGGTGTTATGTTATCATACAAGTGTTTCCCATGGAAAAAATTAGCTGACTATCCCTCGGACAAAGGTCTTCCATGTAGAACATATAAAGAATTAAAAAACATCAGCCCCCCCCCCCAAATTCAAAGACCCAATCCAAAAATGGGCAGTGGAGATGAACACACACTTCTCAGATAAAGAAATACAAATGGCAAATAAATATATGA